CTTAAACACAGAGCAACTCAGCAGCCAAGTGTTGGGATAAAACAGAAGTCGAGTTTCTGAAAAGAACATATCTTTGAAGCCAGAAATGTTTAGCCGGAATTCTGAACTCACCTGCCCATTCACCACTGATTAACCAAGAACCAAAGAGGTAGCTTGATCCAGGCACCAGAACGATGAAGACAGTGAGCACACATGTGACTTCACTACAGCCAACAAGTCAGTCACCCTCCCTCACACTCCAAAGATGAAGAATTTACAACCAAAGGCTACTGTTCCTCCACTGCATTTTCTTGCTTGGTACGTACACTGCAATTCACACTCCAGAAGCAAATCTCCTTTTGCAAGTTTCACATCCACACAGGGGTCAGGGACTGCCTTCTTCTTGTCCAAACCCTGATGGGGTCATGCCCAACAGAGCTGTGTTGGAGGGAGGCACTAAGTAGGTCTGTATCAGCTCAGTCCAGGGGTATGGCAGGCTGTCTGTGTCCATGACTGGCACTGGTGATAACTTGTGTGCTCACCTCTGACCGGGGAGAAGGCTTCTTCTACCTTTAAGCAATGATGTTTGAGTTCAGATGTTGTCTCTGTCAAAGGCAGACTTCCAATAAGCTATTCCTCTTTTTCATACCAGTACATGTGCATATACAAAGGCCCTGCTACAGAAATTTAAAAAGTAAGGAAGAAAATCATGGTGATCTACCAGGTCCTTCTCTCCTTCCCACCATTCAACTCAACTCATTTCCTGGATTCGCAAATGAGGAAACAACCTTTTCTAGCCATCATAACTCCTTCCACTGCAAATAATCTTCCTCTACAGATGGTATGCCCCACATCCTGGTATGTCTCTAGGACAAAGACAAGGTCATCTGTCTCAAGTGTGTGGTGAGAGCAGCCAGGCTGCCTCCGTTCTTTCTCGTGCTTCGTGGGGAAGAGTCGTTTGTATGGCAAAGACTGGCAGATCTATAGCAGTTAAGTTGACTGCTTGAGAACTGTTGGGATTGAAGAGGTTCAAAGGGCACCGGATCCAGCCTCAACCATCTGACCATCTAGCTGACATCAGCCTTTGCTTGAACCCTTACGGAGACAAGTACATTCCTTTTTTAAGATTTTATTTCTTTGACAGATAGAGACCTAGTGAGAGAGGGAACACAAGCAGGGGGAGTGGGAGAGGGAGAAGCAGGCTTCCCCCCCGAGCAGGGAGCCTGATGGGGGCTCGATCCCAGGACCCTGGGATCATGACCTGAGCCGAAGGCAGACGCTTAACGACTGAGCCACCCAGGCGCTCCAGTAAGTACATTCCTTTATTTGTGCACCTCCTCCTATATCACAGCCTTGGTGGTAGGCAGAGTGAAGGATGACCCAGAGTTTGCTGCATTCTGATTCCAGGGGCTTGATGTCTTTGGTATCCTTCTCTTCTGGACAAACTACCTTCCTCTTCTTTTTCTTTTTTTCCCTCAGGAGTTGTCTCCTCCTATTTCTGCCCAATAAATGAGTCTTGAGGTAGAATGCTGTTCCTTCTCTTCTGATAAAGACCAAAATTGTTTGCTCTTCCCTTTGTATGCCTAGGGAGGGCTGGACCAGAGCCCTCTTTTGTCTTCTTGGAGGAATGGGACTTCCCATTCTGACTCTGGGACCCAGAGGTGTTCAGCCTATGATCCAGATCTAGGCTTGGCTTTACTGAGAAAAGATGGGCTCTGGTTTAACTCTTCTGGCTCCCCGAGCCCAGTCACAGGGCCTGTGGCTGCAGCCCAAGTCATGACGTACAACAGTAGTTGGCTTTGCCACATCAGCTGTCTCCGAACTGGGTCGACTTTCCCTGCTGTTCCCTGCTGCTCTCAGCTCTTCTTTCCTCCTGAGCTGGGCCCCCAGGGGCTGTGGCCCTGGGTCTCCCGTCCAGTTCTTGCCCCACTCTGCAATCTGAGCTAGGCTCTGAGTTTCATCATTAATATCCTTCTCCACTCTCACTGGTTTCCTGCCTCTGGTCTCTGACCTCAGTTCTCAGATGGAGAACCTCAGGCTTGAAAATTTGACCAAGCACCTGCTGACAGCATGTTGCCGGTTTAGTTATTTGTGAGGCGTTGGTCGGGGGGAAGGGGGTGCTGTCAGGAAGCCGGGTTAGGATGAAGTAAGATAAGAAACCATCTTTTTCTAGAGCTGGGGCAGCCACAGTCAGGATGGTCAGCCACAGCCTGATAACTCCCTACACGCACAACCCCACAGCTCACTACTCAGGGGAAGCTCCTGCCAGGAAGGGTTCAACTGACGTGTCAGAAAATAGGACAGACGCTTCAGCAGTTTTTATGACCACCTCCCCGCTTTCACAGCAGGTTTCCTGGTGGTACAAACATCCATATCCAGTGGGTTTCATGGCAAACCCCAGGTATGCAATCCCAGGGAGGGACCCAGCTCCAGGGCACCAAGAACACCCAGCTACTCTGCAGTCTCCTTTCACCAGCGACCTCAGGGCACATGAAGACAGCACAGGCACCCAAAGATTCCAGCCAAGGACTGCAGAGGTGTTGTGCCTGGTCCAAACCAGAGAGTCAGTGAGCTGTGTCTTTCCTAACATGGTTACAAAGTGTAAGGACGGGACCTCCCAAGTGTGCAGCTCCTTGTGGGGAGTTCAGAGAACTTTCACCTACCTTGTCTCCTGGGATCATCATGACAACCCTGTGAGGTGGGCAAGGTGGGGTGTTCTTAACCCCTTTTAAGTGATGAAGAAACTGAGGCTTAGAAAGGGGAAGGGAGAACTCAAGGTCACAGAGTAGGGCAAGGTAGGAGGGGTGTGGACTAAACCCTGGGTCCCCTGACTCCAGTTCAGTACTCAATCCACTAAGCCATACCCAAGACTTACAGAGGCATTGGGACAAGACTGTCCCAGGAGAAAAGACTTCCCAGTAACGTCCGCACCTGGCCAAAGCAAGCGCATCGTGCAGAAGCATCTTCACACCCACCACAGACGGCTGCCCCGACCTCCTTCCGCACAGATCCGGCGCAAGCCTCCTCCGCTGACACTGTGCTTGCACAGCACAAACCTTAGCCCTCCAACCACCAACAAGCCCTGGCGGAAGCTCAGGGGCAGGCCTGACTCCATCAACACAGCACTGGGGCCACAGAGCCAGACTCTACCTAGGCCAACCTCAGCCTCAAGCACGCTGTCCTACGCAGAGCACCTTCCACTTTCCTGTCTCATCAAGACCACAGCCTACCTGGGTTTGGGCTCTTTTCCGACCATTTGTTAGAAACTTTCTGCCCCTTGTCCATCTCCAGACTCAACCTCCTTCCTTGGTTGTTGAATTTCACACGCCAGTGAATCAGCCAGCAAAAGCTCTCAAGCAGGACCCCTTTTCTCCCACCTCTTGGGGCCTAATGACTCTCCCACCGACCTCAGTAGTTCAGTGGTGTCCACGAAATGTATCCAATCGTGCCATCCGCACAGCACATGTGTTAATGAGCCCAGGCTTGGAAACAGCACTCTCTCCTTCCGTTCCCATTTGCTGATCTCCTGGGAACTCCTATTCCAAGCATCCCAAGGATGGGAAGGAAGAGGTGTAGCTAGCTGGGTGATGAAGGTGTTTATTGTTCAGTGGGAAGGGAGGGCCAGCCGTGCAAGAAGTGGAGTCTGAGGCAAGGTGATCAAGACACCCCTCGCCTCCCACACAAGCTCAGGCCTAGCCCCTGGAAGTGAGGAAATAGCAGGGAGATTACCTCGGTTACAGATACTGCAGAAGTTGCTGGGCCCCTCACTGTGCTTCTTCAGGTGATCTGCCATGTAAGCTGCCCGCAAGTACTTCCCACACACCTGGCAGGGCACCTTATCTTCATGACAGGCCAGGTGGGAGCGCAGACGGTCTCGAGTGGCGAAAGAAGCATTGCAGGTCTGAGGGCAGAAAGGAAAAGAGGATGAGGTGAAAACTGGCATTATACTCCTGACTCCCCACCAAGCACACCAGGAAACAAAAACTGTTTCACAAGGCCAACACCTGGAATCCCTGTATAAAGAGAGCTTTACATGTGGCCCATGCTTCCTCCCCAGAAGGCAAGCAAGCTGAGACACCTGAGTTGGGATTATTGGTTCCAAATGGCCACCACAGCATGCCCAGAACATGGTACACCAAGTGTCACACTCTTTTACAAAATAAAGATGAGGCATTTGTTTGTTCTTAAACGTGAAGAGTTGACTTTAGTTGCACTGACTGTAAGTGAATGTATAGAAGTAAGCTGACATATGAACAGATCCGTCTTCCTGTCCTCCATCCTGGGTTTTCCCTACTTGCTTTATACAAAGAATTCAGTTTATCCACTTTATTAAAAAGTGACCTTAGTCTTGGCCACAGGGAAATGGAAAGGAAAGGATGGACAAAGCACAGAGATTACTCCTTATAATATTCTTGTGAGTTTGTATTGAGAAAGCAGCCCCTAAAACAATAGCGTCAACTCTGCTAATGTGAGAATTAGCAGAGTGAAGGAAGGCCACATGATTCAGAGCATTTGTGGGACGTTAAGCTGCGGAAGTGCTGGCAATAACAAGAATGATACCACCCCACATCGATCGAGCATGCATTCTATGCCAGGCAGGTGCCATGATAAGCCTGTCAGAGGCACTGATCTCATGCAGTCCATCCTTACAGGAGCCCTCTGAGGCAGGCTGTGTTAATACCCTCCGAGAGAATGTGGCCATAGAAAACTGTGGTGTGAACACCAACTCCTAGCCAGTTCCCAGGAGCTGAGGGTCAGCACCAGCACTCTGGGAGGCAGCCCCAGGTCCCCAGGCATTTCCCATCCCTGAGGCCTTGACTCAGTCTCAGTCCCTGACCTCCAATGGCCCTTCCTCATCTAGGGGCTTGCCCAGGCACCCCAGCCTTGGAGGTCATAGAGTGTCAGGGAAGTCACTGGGGGAGTTCAGCCTGGAGACTTTCAAAACTATTTTGGTTCCATGGAGGTGTTTCAGAGGTTCATGTCAAGTCTGACTAATTTTTCTATGTGTGTTTACTATTTAGAACTCCCACGAGAAAGCAACATTCCCCTCTAAGTGCATTACAGAGCGAATGTTAACCCATTGGAGAAGACCCGCCACCCCATTAACTCACTAGAATGCAGCTGCTCCTGCCGTCTCTGTTTAACAGAAGCACCTCCTGAGATCCCAGGACCTCAAGGTAAATGTCTGAACACCATCACCACGTACAAATGTTTATCTCCTTACTGTATACGGTCAAAGCAAGAAGCCAGTGTATGTGATACTGTGGAGGCCAAAGATTCTGCTGTTCCTGCTCCAATCCCAAATGTCTGTGAGCATCAGGGCCGGCTCTGCTGCTCTCAGTCATTGTCTCTAAGTGACTGCTACACATCTGAACAGCATACCTTATGCTAATGAAATACTGTCTTTATCTGTTTCATGCATTGAGTTGATTCATTTGACAAATGAGGAAGCTGAGTTTGGAGAATGACTGGCCTGAAGCACACGACTCAGCTACTAGAGGAAGCAGCAGTCAAAACCTTGCCGCTGCCAGGCCCGCACCCTCCCTACCCTCCCGGCTTCCCTGAGGTCTGCCTCCCTTCCCCACCCCACAGCTGGGCAGACAGAGGCCTGGAGGGGATCCAGGCCGGCTGGGATGTGAACCAGCCCCTGAGCCTGCGCTTTTCCCATTTCCAGACTCAGCAGGGAGAGCTTCTGGTGGGAAAGGTACGGATACTTTTTAACAGTGTGCGCGGTGGCCAGGACTCCCCTGAAAGGGAGAGGTGACAGCATTTGTGCAGAGAAACTCTCGAGCACTTAGGTGACTCAGGAAGCATCCTGGGCGCTTGGTCTCATGGCCACTGGTGGGCCCCTCCTCAGTCAGGGACCTCTTGACCCAATCACAGACAACAGTGGGGGGAAAATTCCATCTTCCACCCAGCCCAGTGGCCCTGCAAACCAGAGCAAAGGCTGCCAAAAACACCCTGGGGGGAGAGGGGTGCACCTGACAAATTATCTGGGGGTCATTCACCAGCTATGCCAACCAGTGACCTGAGGACCAGCCCTCCAACAATGAGAGGCAGTGTGGTCTATGCCTAAGAACTCAAAGGAGCCAAACATGGACCAGGTGTAAGAAAATGCGGTGAAAGCACACATTCAGAATTTCATCTTCTGCAGTCCCCGGGAGAGGCGCCACTAGAGGGATGTGAAAGCGACGCCTTGTTTCTCCTGCCAACCTCCTTTTGGGGTCTGTCCTTTAAAGCACTGCCTGTCATACTGTGCTACCTAAAGATAATAGATAGCCAAACCTCAATTATCCACAAGTGGTTTATCCATTTGAGGGATTAGCTAGGCAAAATTAAAATCCCAGACCAAGCGGACTTCCCCCACCCCCTCCTCCATTGATTATCTTTCAAGGAATGAAAGCTAACTTTAGCCTGAGCAAACATAATTAGGAATGTAAATCTGCTGCTGGGGGGAAAAAAAAACCCACAACACAACAAAAACTTTCACTGTATTACAAAGCCAAGCTGGAGTTGGCTTCTCTGAGCCAAAATTGACCCTTCATGGCTGCAGTCCCCAAGGTTTTTTGTGGGGGAATCGTCAAAGTGTACAAGCCCGAGTCTAGGCCTGTCAGAAGTTAGACAACACAGAACATAAAGAGCCTGGTTACATGACACAGAAGAGTGGCCAAAGGAGAGGCAGATCTCAAAGAAGGGGACACCTAGAATCTGTATCCTGGGGCCACTCAGGAGAAAGGCACTTCTCATCCTGGAGACAGAGAGAAGACAGAGCAACCCTGATGGGACAAGAGCGAGCCAGCATAGCAGGTTCTGATCACCCCTGATGTTCGGAATGGCCGCCACTTTGCCCTCCGCCCTGTGCACAGGCAGCCTGTTGCCGTCAAGAGCACACTTGCCAGGTCCCAGCCCAGCCACCCCAAGCTTAGGTCTCCTCTGGCCTTCCCCACTCAATACTGAGTCCCAGTCATGCTCCCTTCACTCCCCAAATAGTTTCTCCCCATCCCAGAATGCCTAAAGCTTTTTTCCCCAAGGGCTGAGCAGCTCAGGAATGGGGCCCAAATAGCATCAGGGACACTAGCACTCACCCAACCTTTGGTGGCCTTTGGAGTCTGGCAGCCTGGAGGTTGGGGGAAAGGGGGTGTGGTCTCAAGCAGTCTTTTTTATTATAGCCCGGGAAAAGTCTAACGGCAATACATGGAGGCCCACTGCCATTGGCCTCGCTGGCCCCTTCCTTCTTGGGGGTGTCAGCTCCCTTGTTCCCACTTCAATTCACTCTTTCTCTAGTGAGCTATCCTCCAGCGCAAACCACCCCAACTAGCCCCTGAGAAGTGGGGCCACTGCAAGTAATGGGAGAGGTCTTGCGTTGCTCTAGTCTCTTGGCTTCAGGCTGAACTCCATGTGGGGGAAATGTCCCAGCCCCACTGTGGTCATTAAGCCAGCAGCGCCTGAGGGCATCTGAGCCAGTTAAGGACACTCAGGCCAAGCCCTGAGGAGATCTGTGTGTCACTGACAAGCCTGAGGCTTCATACCCCAACATTCAGATGGTCTTTTCACTCAAGCTGTGGCACCAGCCTCTGTAACTGGCCCCTTTTGTCATCTGTGGCATCAGGAAGGGTGGAGAGGTATAAGCCCATGCCCAGCTCTTGCCCAGGGAACCAACTCCCAAAGAGCCATCTCTTCACCTCTGATGCTTTCAGAATACACACCATGCAAAACATGCCCCTGTTGTTTAACCAAGCCCAGGCACACTGGCCAGCCAGCCCAGAGCATGAGAGCCAGCAAGCATGTCTTCACCTGCTGGGTCATCATTAGGGGAGTTCTGGCTAATGGGGCTGGAGGTGGGGCCAGCAGGTCTGTGTGTTGGAAGCGCGGGGCAGGGCAGGAGTGGGCTCCTTACGTACACCGTACACCGAGGGACAATGATGTCAGTGTTATGACAGAGACCAAGGACAAAACACACAAAGCCTCAAATGTTAGAATGAAAACTTTTATCATCACTCCTGTTATCCCCGCGGAGGCTGCGGGGGCTAAAGGGCATATCACTGGGATCCGGGCGGGGGAGGGGGGTGTCTACATCTGCTTTATCAGCCCCCAAAGCCATATATTGGTTAAAGCTACTGGTTAGTCTAGTTCCTGAGTAGACTTGCTAGTAAACCTCAAAAACACAGAAGTCTAATTCATTAGCCAGAAATGAAAGCAGGACCTGTCTGAGTGGGAAGGGAAGAGGGCAGCATGGGTTGACCCAGTTGGAGTTGCTCCATTCTCCTCTGGAGGGGGATTCACCCCTACAGTGGGGGGAGGGGTGGCCAAGCCCCATTCTAGAAACCCCACACCTTGCAGGAGGTAATGCTAGGAGAAGGGAAGCACATAAGTCCGTGACTTGGTTCTTGGGAAAGCACCAACCCCTAAAATCACCCAGGCAAGGACAGATACCCGGGGGTGCCATCTGTTAAAGGGGGAGAAAAAGACAAGAGAACCCAGAAAGAAACCTGGAGGCCATGGGGGGGACCCAGAAAGGAGCTCCTTACTACCCCTGGGGTCCCTGAGCTGGGAAAGACTCCAAGTCATACAGGAAGGAGCTGGGCATGGTGGGCAGGAACCATTTTGCTGGCCTCTCCCAAAAGCAGGGGTCTCAGAGCAACCGCCGTTCCCATTCCCCTCCACAGAAAAACCCTCTCTGGGGAGGCCCAGGCTAGCCTACAGGCCACTGGGTAAAGGCCCGGCTGCCTTCTGAGGCAGTCCAGCCCTGCCTCAGATATCCCGGCGGGGCTGGGCAGAAGAGAGCGCTGCTGGAGTGTGCTGGGCCCAGGTTTTCGAGGGCTGGGAATGATTTTTTTAGAGAAAGGGAAAAGGCGGTGTCAGGAACCGAATGGGACGACCTCCACAAAGCAGGCTGGGCAAAGTCCCATGATGGCAGGTCGCTAGGAAGAGATTCCAGGGGCGGCAGGCCGCTGCTGCTCCCAACCCACACCTGGAAAAAGGGCAGAGAGTGCAGGTTACCCCCCCAGGCCATCGGGCACGCCCCCACTGCCCTCTGGGCTCCTCCTACTCTGCCAGGCTGCTCAGCACGCTACCTGGGAGAGTCAGAATGTGCTCCGTGATTAGAAAATCAGAGACAGAGAGAAGGCAGCGAGGCACAGACGGATCCCAGCATGCCCACCCTGGGTCGTCGTCCTCGGGGGAGGCCACCTAGCCTGGCTGGCTGTGAACACCGTCCACACCTGGCCCCTGGGGGCTCACTGCCTGACCTACAGCACGTCCATTCCTCCCTGCAGGGCTCCCTGAACCCTCCCTCCTTGCCACCAACAGGATAAGAGAAGCAGGTTATCCTACCAGAGACTGTAACAAGCACCCCACCACTCTGTCTCCCCCTCAGATGGCAGGAACTTGGCATAGGAAGGGGGATAGCCAAGGAAAAGAAACCGGTGTTTTCCATCCACACAGGAATGCTCAGTGGCCAGGAGAGGAAATTCAATTTTCTGGGTAACACAGGGCCCCCAGATCTTGCTGAAGCAGACAAACCAAGAGTGAGAATCTTGCCCAGCCTTCCCTAAACCTACTGCTACACAAAGAGCTCACAGGGAGAGGAAACCACCTTGCTCTCCAGTCCTTAGAAGCCCTGGCTGTTTGCACACATGGTTCAGGGTGGGTTAAACAGGTGCCAGTGCACCTGAATCAGAATCAGACCATCCACTCTTATCCTCCTCCACTGTCGTTCCCACTGCCACCCCTCGTGCCCTAAGCTCAGGGGGACCCAGAAGGTCAGGCTGCCCGGCAGACAAGGGTAAGTGTTGTTAGCTGGACCACCAGGAGCTCTTTACAAACCCTTGCCTCTCCACGGTGGCTCCTGCAAACTGCTGGGAACCAGAAGCCAGGCCCAATGGGGAGCCGGTGCCCCCAGGACGACATGTGTGCAATGTGGCCCACCATCCAAGGAGCTGGCAAATGCCAGGAGAGGAAAAGCCAAGCAAAAGACAGAGACAGGGTGGGAATCAGGACCCAGCAACCAGGAAGGAGGGGACACCAGCGGTGGGGGGGAGGGGGCCAGGGGGAAGAACAAAGGAGGAAAGCAGAGGAGGGTGGACGGACAGAGGGGGAGGTGTGCAAAGCGGTGGTGGTCAGTCAGCCAGCCCAGCACACACATCAGCTGGCTTGTGGCCGGGCTGTGAGAACAGCAGTGTTGTCTTTCAGCCCATCTCTGCCCTGGCCCTGACCCCTACCTGACACTTGTGAGGCCGCTCAGAGGTGTGCACCTGCTTGATATGTCCATTCAAGTGATCAGGCCTGGAAAAGAGAACCAAGAGAGACTTTAAAACAAGACCTCAAAAGATGGGGCCGCAAACTTGGCCAGACTCCCCACCCGTACCTGCACACACACGGATGGAGGGGACTCCCTCTTCCCCATCCCAGCATGACAAAGACAAAGTCACTACCCAGCTCCATAGGCCCAGGCCTCTCTGCCCTGGTTTTTTCTAGAGGGGGAAGGGAAGTGAGTGTTTGTCTCTGACCTTGCCTACCCATTCACCCCGCCCCCCACCAGGCTCAACCGATTTCTAGGACCAGAGGAGGTGGCTTTAGAATGAGACAAGACTGCCTTACTGCAGCCTTTCTGGGAGGGGGTATGTGTGATTCATTGTCCAGACTAAAGCCCCTTAGAAACTCAGTATTCCCCTCCCCCAGCCTCTCCCACCAGGGCAGCCAATGAATGCCACCCGGATGGAATTCAGTCCCCAGAGGCCAAGGGATAGAGCCGTAAGTCCCCAGCTGGGCTGGTAAACCAGATGCCCGCCAGAGCAGGTGGGCAGGGGCTGCCTGACCGGTAAGACTGGTTCCTGGTTGGGGCCCCTCCGAGGGAGTTCTCCATCCATAGGT